CTACTGTGGATGTCTGCAGAGCCGCTTTCGCATTAGGATCATTCTGAACTATTGCAGCACAAATAATGACTCGAATGAATATGTGCAGAGTTTAGCATGGAGTGAGATTCCATTACAATATGACGTGAACGTGATGTGAAAAAGAAGTTGGGCAGAGAGGACAAAGGGCCGGCTAGAACAGATAGTACTTATTACTTAGTAGCTTTGTAGCAAGAGCAACAAGGAGTAGTAACGTACCAATAATAGTCTAGTGATTTGCCGCCTTTTCAAAACTATCTGTTGAGCCGCATTCATACTATGCATTCGGGAGAATCGGAGAATGTGCGCTTAAGGAGTAGACGATGTTGAGAAACTAGGGCCGGCTGCCAGCTGTCATTTCGGGAAAAGGCAATCAGCGGCACCATCAACTTGAACGGCACCTACTCTCCCATAACCTCGATTCTGCAAGTGTTCTGCTCTCCCTCCCTTGCATTTTCCCAGGCTCGTAGTATTCCGAGTAGCAAAACCAGGATGGAGAAGGATGAGCGCCCTAATTACGTATTCCTTGAATGAGCCCTCTTTTATAACAATTTCCAAGAGACACAATGTAATTTTCGGGAAAAGAAAGCTCTAGAACTGACCTCAGATTGACTGGCCGGATTGACTATAGCCCCGTAAAGACGGTGGTACGCACTCTCACAGGTGTCACTAGTTTCCGATACCAATATCGGGTCCAACTGGCTGCAATGTTACAAAGTCTGAGAAGAGACGAATCTAGACATTTCACTGAGATCATGCCAACCCTAGCCGGATTAATATAAGAGTGCTCGGATCGTGCATTTGAAATTGTAAAGGGCTATCAGAAACTGAGAAAATGTCAATTTCATTTTCTGACTTTTTTTGGCACAGAAAGCTGAAACAAGTAAATGCTGAAACTTACGGGACACACTGCTGCTCATCTGTTGCAGAGTTCGGTGCGACTGTTTCTAAACAGGTAATTTTACTTTCACAGCGAGAGCGGATGCGCGCTCAAAAGCGCACTTCACAACAGGTCGTGACGTAAGTGCACACAAGTTTGTAGATGCTAGTCTGCAATTTTGAGAAGGATAAAGCAGAAGAAACATTGAAAAGCCTATTATGAGACCCAGTATGACTCAGTGGATTACATGAGTACCGCTAACAAACTGTAGGCGCCTGAACAAGAGATCAGACCATCGACAGACGAGAGGGCATAGAGACATGCGAGACGACAAAGACAGACGAACCCGCAAACAGCGACTTTTTTCAAAGAGAGGCCTTATGGGTGCACCCACTGCTGCCAGATAACCCATTGGTAACTCATTGGAATCTCACAGCTCTCCATGATCGCGTTCATGCTACGTGGTCCGATCGCTTGGATCGCGCAAACAAAGCGATTCGATCGCGAGTATGAACGCGCTCTACAGTAAATCGGTACAGTTTGTGATGAAGTCTACTTGACGTTCTTCCAACCAGTTAACTGTGAAATGCGCCTCTGAAGAAAGAGACTGATAATGCAAGAAAATCTAACCTTGGTTGGTACTCGTTGTGATTCCTGTCGCCGTGTTGATTCGGATACGGTCAGAGCTCTCTAAAATTTGTTGCTCTTCCGAAGGCGAGAACTGATCTGGAAAGTATCTCTTTGTAGCAGAAAAAGGAGGAAGTTTGGAGAATTTTCGGAGCAAAAAAGTCAAGAATTTGTCAGGAAATTAAGTGGATGAGAATAAATCCTATTACAAACTGTATATTTGGTTGGTAGGCAGGGATAGCCGAGTGGATTAAGAGTGTAGACTCACGTTCACACCCTGAGCCACGAGTTCAATCCCTGCCGAGGCACAAACCTGCCTTGCAAAAATTGCAAAAATGGGGACGATACCAGCGTCAGGCCCAGGTTGACAGGCCGGCTGATGGAGGAACCCGTCACAACAACCATGACAAGTCGCAAAAGTGCAGCGTGGACCAGGCTGTGAAGACCCGAATCAACGCAGCCTGGATGAAATGGAGGGAGTCCACTGGCATCCTGTGCGACCGGCGGTGCTCGAGAACGCTCAAGGGCAAGGTGTACCGGGCGGTGGTAAGGCCTACAATGCTCTACGGCAGTGAGTGCTGGCCCATCTGCAAGAACCATGAAAGGCAGCTCCACTCAGCTGAAATGAGGATGCTGAGATGGGCCTGCGGCTGGACACGACTCAGAGTCAGAAACGAGGACGTCAGGGCGGTCACACAGACGGCTCCGATCCAGCTGAAGGCACGAGAGCAGCGACTGCGATGGTATGGGCACGTGCTGAGAAGGCCTGAGGACCACCCAATAAGGAAGGCATTGGAATTCGAAGCAGAGGGCAAGCGACCACGAGGAGCCCCAAAGAAAAGATGGAGGGACGTCATCAAGAAGGACCTCACTGAAGTGAAAGCCACGGCAGAAGATGCAGTGGAACATGGTGACATCTAACAAGAACAGCGGACCCTGCGACGTCGCGGGACTAACGCTAGGGAGAAGAAGACACCCTGTATACTTGGCTGTACTAGAAACTTGATGAAATTATTTCTACCTTGACTAGCTTTTGAACCGAGTGCTCTTCCTGCAGAATCCTCGACAACGTCAGGACTCTCTGATATTTGGGCTTCCTGAGAAGGGACTTGATCTAAACACGAAAAACTTCAGGTGAAGAAAACAAAAAGAGAAAATCAAGGAGAAAGACAGAGTCCCTGGCATGCAATGGCAGTTAGCTAACCTCGTGGTCGGGACACTCTTACCTTGATTGCCACTGGAAGAACTTTCTATTACAACATCGTCTTGGTCACAGTTTTCCGAATTCCGGTGACCTGGAGGCGGAACTCGGTCTGAAAAAGAAGAGGCGACTAGGCAAAAAAGGAGTTCATCTGAATGTCCCAAAAGTCCGAAAAGGTTAGAGACCCTGAAAGCTAGGAATTGCCTACCTCGACCGGTTTTATGAAAAGGTTGAAAAACTTTATCATAACACTACCTCTAGTTTGGTGAATGTCGCAAACAGCAGTGGAGAAAAGCATAGATGACGACTGATCTCCTTCAAATGATTCGAAATCTTCGTCATGAATCTGCAAAACACACCACCATGAGGCATGAAAAATGCTGAAGCGAATGACTCAGTGACGTGTCTGTGAAGTGCATTGCTTGCGAACGGAGACATGAAAAATTATTCACTCATCACAATCCGCCAGCTTCATGCCACACACTTCCAAGTGGCAAAGGTGCGCTACAGCTCTACAGTTGCTGCAAACCATCAGCTCATCCATGACGTAGTGTAAGGGATAAAGTCTTCGCCGTTGATCAATCTTCCTTGGGATGCGGCACGCATTCTAATCCCATTTAAAGACAGCCCCCGCGCTCGAGTAGCCCATGGTCGTCCTTCCTTGTACAGATAGTTCAGCCCCA